CATGAATATATGAAGTTCATATATTTTGAACTGCGGTTATAGATACGTATGATGCACGATCCTCGCAGTAGAGAGCGCTATTTATGCAATAGCGAAAATCAGACCTGAAAAAAATCAGGCCTGTACGGGATTCGAACCACTGACCTCTGCGATACTAGTGCAGCGCTCTACCAATTGAGCTAACAAGCCAACTGGGAGCAGGCCGTTAAGTTGATTCGTAATAAACCCGAGATGATAAATCAGATACAATGAATATATGAACCAAAGTATGTTTCAGTCACTTTCTGAAGACTTACTTGTGTCAGAGACATTCTTTTGTTGAGGTGCATTTCTGACGACAACCTTAGAACCATACTGTTGTAATATGTTTCGGAAAAACTCCACACATATTCCGTTAAACGGAAAGCCACGTAACGTTTACATTATGTGGTGCTGGTGCTAAAATCAACAAACATTTTTCATTCCGTGACAGTAACCTGTTATTTGAATATATCGACAAAGTTGAATGGTAAATTGGCCACCGTTACGATTATAAAAGCTGACGTTTCGAACGTTAGCCCTTCGTCGGAGCGAAACGAAGGGCTAACGCTCGAAACGTCAGCTGTTATAATCGTAACGGTGTCCAATTTACCATTTCAACTTTGTTCAAATTATTTCGTTACCCCCACCGACGCAGCCCCAAACAGTTTCTTTAGAAACTATCAGCCTTTATTCAATAGTAACCTGTTATTGATGACTAACGGACCTGGGAATCGATCATATTTCAAAAAGAGAGTGCCTTAAATGCAAAGATACATCTGAGTTTACGGATCAAGGAAACTTTGTTTCAAAAAAATGAATAACAGATCAAGGCTTCTGACTTTCATAAAATTCCAGAGATGAGTTAAAAATTTACAAACCTTTTCATTTTTATTTCACACAGAGGAGAATAGGAATTTGTGCGAATCGGAGGACGATAAAGCCGAGTGTATCAAAGAAATCGAGGAAGCCAAGGCAATCCCTATAGAAGAGGACAATCTAGGTGAGTGAATCTAAAATTTGAAATTATTTTGTTCATGAGACTCAAAAAAGAATCCATAATGGTCACCTCCAGTCTTCTTTTAAGGCGCGCGGCAAAGGTGTGCGAGGTGAACTGGGGGAAAGGTGTGGTTGGCTGTCTCACTGCTCAGACCTTACGTTCCTGTACTATCTGCGTTAGCCACGCTCCCGCAGTTTGAAGATCACTATGAGCAATCAAGGGTCGATACCCACTAAATTGTTTTTCTTTTTCGAAAATTTTGGTCCATATGAAACTAATCGTTATTTCAATTACAATGACTGGAGGTTGTTCTCGCGTCTTCTGTGCCATCTGTACAGTGTAAGGCTTTAAAGTCTTTCCACTAAGCTCAGGCTGTTCGTCACAGCACACTCAGCGCTATATTTGAAGGTTGATCGTTGTCTTTTCTTTAAGTTTTTTTTTATCGTTGCATTTATTGTTACGTTTATCTGTTCGTGGATGAATTTTCATCAGGTTTTGCATGAGGTAGCTTTCCAAAGAGCGAAGCCTTCTTGCCCACGAGGCTACGCAAGCTCAAACTCGTTCCCAATAATTTGAATATATCAACAAAGTTGAAATGGTGAATTGGCCACCGTAACGATTATAAAAGCTGACGTTTCGAGCGTTAGCCCTTCGTCGGAGCGAATGACGTTGGAGCGAATGCATTCGCTCCGACGATGGG